CTGTAAAAGTCCCTCCGTAGCCCCAAATTCCTGGATCCACCACTAGTGATATCAATAACTATTTGTATAAGCATGGAGGAAATATTATTAATATCTTAATATATTTCCTCCATGGTATAAGTGGCAAACCCCTTACAAAAAACAAACATATACAATATGACACTTCACATAAATTAAGACTCATTATGAGGCTTAGGGAGTGAGGAAATATCCTGTCCCAGGGCCTGTGATTGGAAGGCCAGCATGTTAGCCAACAAACTACAGCTACGGTCCATCAACATTGCAGGATTTGAACCCAAGACCTGTGATTAGAAGGCCTGCAATTTAGGCACCAACCTACAGCTACACTCCATCAACATTGCAGGATTTGAACCCAGGAACCTGAAATTAGAAGGCAAGTATGTTAGCCAGCAACCTACACCTACACTCCATCAACATTGCAGGACTTGAACAGGACCTGTGATTGGAAGGCCAGTATTTTAGGTACTAAGCTTGAGCTCCTCCACACCACAACACCTTTCAAAATGATTGACTATATTACATAAAATAAATTATACTACCTTCAATTCAAAGACCGGGGTATCGATAGTCTCAGCACCATGTCTTTTAAAACAATTAATTATTGTTTTGAACACACCCTCTCGAATTGCCATCTGTTTTGGGTTGTAATCTCTTGTCCCCTACAAGTTAAAATTTCCTAGAAATTAGTTTCACATGATTACTCTGTCACTCATTTGATTAAAAAATTTCAACAATTTCACATCATTCTGTATTTCCACATCTCCAGGAGTGAAGAAGAGTAAATGTATTTACATATTTTTTGTAGTTATACCTTTGGGTTTTTGAGAACAAACTTCTGTGGCTGAGCATCTTGTATCTTGGCCTTCAGAGCTAAAAGCTTTGCAACCTCCTCATCAATCTGAAAAAGAAACAATAAAGTAAATAAATAAAGCAAATAAATAAAGCAAATAAATAAATAAATAAACTACATTAGAAAGAAACCATTAGTTAACTTGCCCAAACAATAAAGTAAATAAATAAAGCAAATAAATAAAGCAAATAAATAAATAAATAAACTACATTAGAAAGAAACCATTAGTTAACTTGCAACACAAGAATTTTATCAGAATAAATGATTTGTTTAAATAAAAACAACTGAGTTTTTTTCATAAAAAAATGAGTAATTCTTTTTAGCAGAATATAACTTAAAATCATAACATTCTAAGTTATTTGAAAAGATAGTTACACATGGATTTTAATTTATTTGTTTTACCGTAAAACTTCTAACCCTGGTGGTATACTATTCTTTGATTGGGTTACTATTAGAATATGGGTTACTGTTATTAATAAGCGTGCTATAGATAGGCCTACTTGAAAATATTAAACCCCCACCCACAGCTTTTCACCCCAGCATTTCATAGAAATAAATACTGCAACTACAGTACGATTAAGATAACTTTATTGATTTAATTTCATTTTCAATCTCTTTTTTTTTTTTTTAAGAGTAATGGGTATTATTAGAAGAGTGTACAGTATGTGTGATATCCTAAATGCCAAAAACGTTTTGAATTTGTTACCACTCACCTGTGATACATCAGTGAAATATGTTGCAATGCATCGTGGCAATAATTTTGCATTGACACGTCCCAATCGTCGCAGGTGATAAAGTTTCGTCCAGGTAAGAGCCATTTCCAAATTGACATCCACAAAGTAAGTTATTCAGCAAGTTGAAATTAACAGGAAGTTGGCAGAAAGAAGAATAAATTCAGATCAGAAATCCTGGTTGAGCACGTAGGAAATAAAGTGGCACAGAACTGTGTATGAATAAAAGTCCATCCACTCGAAAAACACTAAAACAACACACATTGCATCACTCAAATCTGGACTCGCATCAAAGATTTATGTAAACAAATTTAACACTCTCTAGCTCCTAGTCTTATCTATGATTGTTTTACCTGCTTTACTTCTTGCATCAATTACTACTTCAAGAATCACCCACTGTAGGCAATGGTTTATGGTGGGCACCTGATTTTGAGACAACAACAGGTGCAGTACAGGATTTTGACTTGCGATACAACAAATCAGTACTGGAATCATTAGACTCAAATGACAACGGATCCAGTAGCAGGTCTGTAGCGAGCTACGTATTCAAAAGTGTTTGATTCTGAATCTAAGAAAGAATACTCCTTTTCCACGGAACGGTAGACATCTTGAAGTGATGACCAACAACCCAAGTCAGTGGTGCGTAACCAACAGAAATATGATAAGCTCTGAGGTTGAATTCTTTTCCTCATGTTATCTAAAATTTTTTAACTCCATACGGAGGGTTGTTAATTTTTTCTGGAAAATGTTCTGAAAAGATTATTCTACAACACTATATGATTGAAAAAAAATTTAAAAATGTTTTTGACCGCCGAAATCGAGATGGAAAAAGAAGAGCCTATCTAAATAGTGTATTAAAATAGGCTTATGCAGTATGGTACAGGTGTATTATCGGTATTGGAACAATAATAATACGAAAGTACTATGCTACTGCACTGAAAATTGGGCTCAGTAACGGAGGAGGTATCCTTTAACGGTGGCCCTAGCCCTAGGCTACCCACCAAGGGCAAGACCAATGAATGACCAGCACTGCTGCAGCGGAGCAGTAAAGACTGTGCGGATGCAGCACTGCTGTGCTGACCCAGCATCCTGCATACTCCTGGGCCTTGGATTCTGGTTTAAATAAGCGGTTAGAAGAGAAAATATTACCAACCTTTTCTTTAGATGCTTGTTCTTTTTTTAAATCACGTACAACGTTTCCTTGTTTAATTATTTCTTTTTGTATCTCTGCTTTTAATGTACTATCCATGCTGCTCCTAAACATTCGCTGCCGTACGGACGTCTACAACAAGATGTTAAGCGCCCTCAACGATGTATTTGAGTCACGGTTAATTGGTTACGTCTCTCTTTTTTTCCCTTTGATTTTGTCGTTTTCTCATGTTTCCGGTATTTCCCCGAGAAACGTCATCTACCGCCGGACCGGTGGTGTATGCAGAGTATAAACTTTATTTGCGAGCTAGTTAGTACTTGAATATCTTTACAGTATTTTATTTACGAACAGTATAATTCATGTGAAAAACACAACAGTGTGTCTTAATAATATCAGCCTGTTGGTATGTTATGTTTACTTGGATTCTTCAATAATGATCTAAATAGGCTAGGCTAAGCGGCCGTACCTACTGACTGACACTGTACCGGTACGAACAGAGAAAGCCCCATACTACTCTAGAGGGCTGCGGGAAAGTAGCACTAGGCCTATAAGGCCTAGCCTAGGGTAGGTTAGTGTCATTGCAATGTTTCCAGCTTCTACTTGTATCAAATCCAGTGGTGGTAAGCCTCATGCCATGGTTGATAGAGAGTGGCAGATGGAAAAATGTTTTGGGAAATGTATAATTTATTTTATAATTGTGAAGCCTAAAAACAGTCGGTGCTGCCTGCTTGGTGGGGAGAATGGGATGGGGGAGAATCTGTGAGTGATCAGCTTCTGTAGCTATTTAATTTACTTAGAGACTTGATTTTAATAATGTAGGCATGTTTTTGAATATAAAGAAAAGAACAATTGAAAAGATATTGAATTGTGAGGGAAATTCCCCAATAATTGTTACTAAATACTGTTGTTGTGTAAGTGTGTTTCTTTAATTATGAATAATAATTGAATATAGCATTATTTTTCTTCATTCTGTAGATGGACGTGATTGAACGATTCCTTACTAACATTTACCGTAGTGCTTTTTTGCCATTAGTAAGAGTCATGGCAGGAAGAAAAAGGTAATTTTTATATATTTGTACATAGTTTTATTGTTTTTGTTTTCTTTAATAATGTTGGATGTGGAAATCCTTTGGGAATTGGAGTAGATTTTAAGAGCCACAAGAATTGTCATTATTAATATATTATTTAATATAAAAATGGATAAAAATATATGAGTTAGCGAGGTTGATATTATAAAGATATAAAGTTTGCGTCAGGAAATAATCATAGGAGTGATGTTTTGCCCTACCTGACATGATATCGTACCGAATACTCAGTACGTCCCCGGTGGTCTAGTGGTTAAGACATCAGGCTAGATACCTGGAGGTCGTGGGTTCGATTCCCACCCGAATCACTTGCAAATTTTTTTCGCTAGTATTTGGGGACGTACTGAGTATTCGGTACGATATAACGTCAGGTAGGGCAAAACATCACTCCTATGAGGTTGATATTGGAAAGTTTTAATGGAAATTTACAAGTTTATGTTTTTCCGTCCGAAGATTTCTGAGTGCATCTAGAGGACCTGCAGTAAGCACAGTATTTGAGGCGTTGAGCGACAAAGATGAGGTCATTAAAAAATGTCAAGAATTATTACAAGGACATCCTCCGCTGCTCAGACGAAGCTTCCATGAACTTCCATCTGCCCCAAATCTTGCAACAGTTCGCATTATGCAATGGAATATTTTAGCTGATGGTTACTACATTTTTTATTTAAAATACTTTAATATTAAATTTTAGTGAAATATAGCCGTTACGGCTTGTACCTTCAGTCGAAACCAGTCAATACGAGCTGATGTCACTTCAAGTGGATGCTAGTTTGTATACATAAATAACATTTGAGCGGATGCCATTTTGTGTGATCCAAGTTTTGCAAACAATTATCTTGTGTGGATTTTTTATTTTGACTGAACATTGATAGTTTTCTGCCCTCTTCAGATTCAAATTTGCTAAAACTTATCTGTTTTCTTGAGTTTATTCTAGTCTAGTACATATTATTTGGTCATGGCATATCTAGGAGTGAGGAACATTTGCTCGATGTAGAATCCTCTCGAATTGACTGGCATTCTCTTCAGTAGTTTATATTATTGTATTGTTATCTATGTTTTAGTACTGTAGTTTCAAACTTATATTTTGGGGTTAATTAAAGAACATTATAATTTGTACAACAGTTGGATCATGTCCAATAAAAAATATCATCAATGTCAACAAAGACATCTACAATACCATAAGGAATTACACACAATTAAAAAACTTGTCTAGAAACTCCTCTTTAGATTTTGGGTCTTAATTATAATAACATGTGATTATTTTCTTTCAATTTTCAGCCCTCGGAAATGGAGGGGACAATTTCATAAAATGTCCCAAGGAGGCACTTAACTGGGAGACACGCAAATTCCGCATTCTTGAGGAACTTTTGATTTATGACCCAGATGTTATGTGTCTTCAAGAAGTGGACCACTACCATGATTTTTTCGACCCGATTCTCAAAGTACTGGGCTACCACGGAACGTTTATGGCGAAACCCAGCTCACCTTGTTTAGATAATCCATACAATAACGGTCCAGACGGCTGTGCTTTGTTTTTTAAAAGTGACAAGTTCGATTTGATCAACTGTGAAAAACTTGTACTAAAGGTTACACATGATGGGTATCAAAGATGGAGTAACCAGGTAGGAATAATTAGCACGTTAAGGTATAACATACTTGGCCAATCAAAGAAAGAGATTGTCGTCGGTGTGACACATCTCAAAGCGAAAGCCGGATGCGAATACATCCGCCACAGCCAGGGTTTAGATCTCCATGAGCATTTTTCAAACCAAATTGGTTCTCATCCAGGTGTGTTAGTAGGAGACTTTAACGCAGAAACATCGGAGGAAGTTTACTGTGTGTTCGCAGAGTCGCCGCTGAACTTAAATAGTGCATATAAACTGTTAAGCAAAGACGGGCAAACGGAGCCAGATTACACAACGTGGAAGATTCGTAAGAATGGGGAGCAGTGCCATACTATTGACTACATGTGGTACACAAAGGAAGGCTTGGCAGTTAAACGTCTACTGCATATTCCAACTGGAGAAGAGATCGGAAAGGACAGGTTGCCATCGGAAACGTACCCATCAGATCATTTATCATTAGTGTGTGACTTCTTAGTTATTGATCATTAAATTAATGAAACCTCATATTTAAAATTTTCTGTTGTGTACATTATTATTATTATTTATATTAATTTTATTATAACTAATACTGTTAATGTTGTTATTGTTAATAATATTGTTAAAGAAACCTCATTTATGATTTCTGTACATTATTATTATTCATGTTTATTAATATTATTAATATTGTTAATATTGTTATTGTTATCATTACAGTATTATTGTTGTTATTGTTATGTATTGTATTATAAACTAAGTTGCATTTCCACAAGTATCCTGTATATTTGGACATAAAGCCAGCGAGATATTCAAGATAAATAATATAATTATTTTTCAAGAGGACATCTAAACTAAAACAATTGAATCACAATTTTCTGTGCAATAGTTTTAGGGCAATCTTGCATTTATATATAAGTGTGTGTAGTAATATTAATATTTTAATTGCTTGGCTGCTTCTATTGTTAACAAGCTTTAGTCTTTCACTTAAAAATAATTTCTGACAAATTAAATACCTGTAATAATACATTTGTTAAGTAAATTGGTGTATTCGATTGGGACTTATCCATTGTCATCCATGTTTTTATGCTTAAAAAGTAGAAAGTACACAAAAATTTTAAAATCTATACTGAAAAGCAAGTGATTGCATAGCACTGTCGCATCTCTTACCATCTAGCAAGATATATCTTTCGTTATAGTCACAAAAAAAAAAATAAATAAAATGCTGAACCACAATTTTGTACATTTTAGGTTGGTCGGGTATGACCAACACAATAATTTTTTTTATTTGGCCTTACGAGAGGTTAAGTTTTACTGAAATCTCACATAAGTTTTTTTTTTTTTTGTCAGTATTGTAAATAGTTAAGGAATGTGTATTATGAAATTATATCAAATGGTGCAGATATTATTATCTCAGGGACTTCAGTCTCCCATGTAATTTTTCTGAACAGAATTCACTCTGTGAGTGATCTATGACCTATTATGTAGATTAAAATATCACATCTAGATGTGTATAAGAGACAGATGCAATGGAATATTTTAGCTGATGGTTACTACATTTTTTATTTAAAATACTTTAATATTAAATTTTAGTGAAATATAACCGTTACGGCTTGTACCTTCAGTCAAAACCAGTCAATACGAGCTGATGTCACTTCAAGTGGATGCTAGTTTGTATACATAAATAACACTTTGAGCAGATGCCATTTTGTGTGATCCAAGTTTTGTGAACAATTATCTTGTGTGGATTTTTTATTTTGACTGAACATTGATAGTTTTCTGCCCTCTTCGGATTCAAATTTGCTAAAACTTATCTGTTTTCTTGAGTCTATTCTAGTCTAGTACATATTATTTGGTCATGGCATATCTAGGAGTGAGGAACATTTGCTCGATGTAGAATCCTCTCGAATTGACTGGCATTCTCTTCAGTAGTTTATATTATTGTATTGTTATCTATGTTTTAGTACTGTAGTTTCAAACTTATATTTTGGGGTTTTTGTCCAGATTATCAATTTTTTTTGACAAAAAAACTGTTGTATGCCCATATATAGTCATGATGTGCCTATATATAGTAATGGTGTGATGTCATCATGACCATATTTAGGCACAAGTCTGAACAGGGCTTAGTACAGGTAGTGTTACTCTTCATGGCTACCATAATATAAAATTAAAGTGAAATTGTATATACAGCATCAGATAATGTGGCAAGAGGAGGAGACGGACCTCCTCCGGGCAGGTCAACAGGGGCATATTCAGAATCTTTCAAATGGGGGGAGGGCACAACGGTTTCAGAATAGATAAATGAGTAACACATAACTTTGATATGCATTGAAATTTTTAAAATTTTGTGAAAAAAACGGTTGGGGGGGCAGCCACTGGTCAAGCCAAGTTTCTGTAAGAGTCAGTGGCCTCATACCTCTGTCAGACATATGCTAGAGTTACCACTTGTACCAGTCAAATAGCATGTGGACCCTTCCCAAATGTATCCTCACAGAAACTTGGTCAAGCCAAGAGTCTGTGGCCTTACATCTGTCAGACATATCTTCAAGTCATCACATGCACCAAACAGCTTCTGGACCATTCCCAAATGTTCTTTTTAATATTAATAATATATAATATTAAGAGATTACATAACAACAAATGCTGATAATTTTGTGTTACCTTTAGGTACACTCGACATGCCAGTATTATTTGATTGTTCAAGAGCAACTGCAAAATGGAGGTATTATGTTATAGTATTACTGAATTTTCCATTAGGCTGGGATTCCTCGAATTGTGTATAAAAGAACTACGTAGAATAAATAATGCTTTGTACAAAAGAAGTACGGATATGCAAAGTTGTGGTTATTAGAAAAAAATTATACTCAAGGACCAAACAATTAGCTCATATCCAGGAAAGTGTCTCCACAAAATTTTGAGTATTGGTTATTGCAACATGGTCATCAATTAACTACTAGCCCATTCCACAAAGTTTTTCACTTGTTTTATGTGTGACCTTGCCTTATAGATTATTATATGGAGCCAAGCACAAATATAAGCTGGTAGCTTATACCAAGAATTCAATTTTTATGGGATTGGCCTCGATTAACTATGGACTTTGCTAGCAGTGTGGCTGTAACACATGTTAATGGCTATTACTACAGTTAAATTTGCCTAAGTCAAACTTATTTTACATGCCAAATTGTTGTTTTCCATTAACAATCTGCAAGTCGAATTTTATCCAAGTCGAACAATTTTTTAATGGCATTTTGGATTTGACTTAGGCAAGTTCAACTGCATTGAGTAAAAAGTATCTGTCCCCATCACAAGGAAGAACTAAATGGACAGACAATGTTTGACTAGTGTTTTCTATGAACTTGAAAGACACTTAACACACTGATAATTAAGACCAATCGATAATTAACACCAATAGAATATTACAATATCTGCATTTTTCTGACCCATGTGTACGAACCTTGTAATATGCAGAATAAAAGTATTTATGCAAATAAAGACAAGGTATAACAACAAATGAGAGAATGAAAACGAGTCCAAATATGTCAATTTGTATTTGAAGTAAAATCCCTTACACTAAACAAAAATATATAACAATCTTACGGTAGGTAGATGGAAGTTGTGTTGTCCAGTCAAGTCAAATTTAATATAAAACTTACAGAAGCTAGCTAAGAAAAACAATACAGTATCCACTCAACACATTGGTCCGATACACAGTCCCATTTGACCGAATACAGATCATATTATTAGTACATAGATACTTCTATTGGAAAAAGCCTGGCAATAGAGGGCAGCACACTCATATGAAAGGCCAATAGTGGATCTAGAGTGTGGCAAAAAGAGTGTTCACCCCAGCAGCATCAAGAAATCTCTAATCAAGCTCTTCACACCCACAGTAGAAAAAATCCTGGACTTATGGTCATCTAACAAGTAGGGTCAAGTAAACTTTACTAGGGAGCATAACAATCGTCCTACTGGGCATCTTGCGTTCTCTGCATACGTAAATTTGGCCAAATTGCGTCCCAGATTCCACTCGCAAGAATTTTACTTTCTCGCATGTGCAAATGACTCTTAGTGACGTCATTATGTTCTACGTCCTACCATCGTCATGCTATTGAAAGCTCTCTATTGATAATTTTACTTGACTTTCGACATTTTCTCTCCACTTTAGAACAGAAGGTAGTGGAAGTGCTCTGATAATTTCTATAACACATGAATATACAGTAATATGAAAACTACCAGGTAGTTACTAATAAAAATTCAGCCATTGTAAATCTACATCTGCCTAAAAAAAAAATAAAGCACCAATCAATGCTTTCAAAACACTCCCACTAAATCCAAACACTACTTCTGTCTAGGCCCATCCCTTTTTACACAAATTTTGGAAAAAATGAAAGATCTTTGGCAGCAAAAGCCTAAGTTTTGGAAAATAATTTCATACAGTATATTATATTTGCATAAGGAAGATTATTGATATTAAAAGTTGAATTTTTCCTTAACATACAGAATCAGCAAAATGTTAACTATCAGTTACTACTGGTTCTTGCGGCATTCTGAGCAATGTATAAATATAACATATGAATTAAGAATAACATATATTAACGGCAAATTTCAATAAGCAATGGTGAAAATGCCAATGTGTATATAGTTTGTATGTATCAGAACATACAAATTTTAATGAAAAATTGAAGGGAAATAACAAGGGAACCTGATTTGAACAATCAACTGTAATTACTAAATGTTAAGTCAATGAACATAGCACATGTGGCAAAGACAAGCCAAACCAGTCACCCATCGCAAAAATAAACTTAGTAGTAAAGTAAAAGGAGAGCTATAAAATGGTAAAAGAATGATTAAAATCCGGCATTTCATTATGAAGTTACAGGTGTTTAAACATACAGATGTTTAAAGAACAATATTTGAGAATGAAGTTTATGATTTCCAGCATTTTTCAGGTAGAAACCATCACCAAATAAAATGAGAGGTTAAAAATCGTAAAAGAACCATTTAATCTGGCATTTCATTATGAAGTTACAGGAGTTTAAACATACAGCTGATTTAAAGAACAATATTTAAGAAATCAGCCTTTAAAATTTATGATTTCGAGCATTTCTCAGGCAGAAACTATCAACAAATCGTTAAACATTGTTGCTTTAACATTGAAAATGGGGAAAATAACAACATAGCACGATATATAAAGGTTAGTTTAGTGCAATAGATTTCAAAAAATATTCCAGCATATTTTGGTCGTTATCTCTGAAACAGGATTTGCGACGAGTGACTGGTCTGGCTTGTTTGCCACATAAGCAAAAATAAGTTGCTGAAAGGAGCACGAGTATACTGTAGTTTGCAGGTCAAACTAAGGTCAAATTACTCTTACTGGACAGCGTGCTATCAGCCATTGGTTATCTGTCAACACACTGTACTTGGCATGCTGCCAAATGATATGCTGTCTTATCTCACACAGGAATTTCTTATACCCCTTTTACACTGCAAGCAAGACACCGGACACAACCTGGGATTTTGCAATACTTGGGCTAAAAAAACTCCTGAGTTGTGGTTGGTGTAAACGTCAAAAAATACAACCCAGGTTGCCAAACATCCCCGGATCAATGTGCAGGACGCATTCAGCGTTGGACAACCAGGATGCATTCCGGAATCGCCAGTGTAAACAGCGAATATGATTCCAGAGTTACATATAAATTCCTTCAATATTGACAATAATTGCGGCTTCGTCACGAGGAACTCGAGTGAAGCGATCATCACCATCGCAAAAAAATTTTAGGGCGGTATTTGAACCCGAGTACGTTGCCGGTGTAAAATGGGAGCAACTCTGAAGCAACCCAGACTTTTTTAATCAATGTGAATGGGAAATGCACCCTGGATCACTCCAGAATTAACACAGGTTTATTCTGCCTTGGCAGTGTAAAAGGAGTATTGCACAGGTATTTCACTTCCACAGCATAAAGTATATCTGCACAAGCATGGTATACTAAAATTAAACAAGAATATTATCTTAATTAGATGAGGGTTGCAAAACAAAGCATTTTGTGTTGTCTGACACAAATTAGGATACATATAAAAAATAACAATAAAAATAACTATTTAAAATATTTATACACTTATGCTTTTAATATAATATATATATAACATTTCCTAATGGAACCATGTGAGTTCTCATAAACTTCTATTAACATTCTTTTGAAAAAATAGTTTAAGCTGGTAAAATACAATGTATTGGAAGGTTTTTTTGTTACCCAATATGTTTAGGTAAGGACTGGCTCCTTGCACATCTGCAAAGGTCACCACCAATATATATGTTAATTATTCTGGTAGTAGAGATTAAAAGGAAAATATGTATTAATCTTAAAAAAGCTTTGATAATTTTTTTGTTTTTCCTTTCTATATACATCTTATATTATTATTTTCAATCATCTGCATCAGCGTAATGTTATCTAAAAGTTGTCTACATTAATACCAGTGGTAATACCTTTTTCAATAAAGATAAAATCAACTGGTAACTTTAAACCATTCCAATACCAACAAACACCAGCATATTATATCCTATTCTCTTACCCTACGTTTTTATCATTTTCTAATATAAAAAATAAAATAAATTAAAATGCTAATTTTATTGAGAGAAGAAGATGGATAATATTAAAGATATACACTGTCAATTGGCTGAACAAATAAGTTTATATAATTTTATTGTATTATATTCCTTTAGGCACATGGCCGTGGTTACACCAATAGCGACCAAGTCACTGCCCTGTTAAATAGGCGGCAGTCCATTCACATGACAAATAAAAACACATGATGCTTGATAGACCAGGTCTCATATTGAGGCTTAGGGAGAACAGTTGTTTTAATAATGAAAAAAAAACCAAAACAGGACCACGGGATTGGAAAGCAAGCATGATGTATTTTTTATGTACTTGTACATGTAATTTAACAACTCTGCCGTGAATAAGCACAACACAGACTGTATATCTTTAACAATATAGAAATAAAGTACAACCTAAACGATTTAACAAATAAATCAACTAGTTTTGGAGGCAACTGGAGATTTGGATCATCCAACATTGTTAATAAACACACATCTTTGAATTAGCTCAAAGTTAACAGCCAGTGAAGTAAAATCTTTTGTGGTTTCATCACGAACGTCATCATAAACATGTAAAAAGTTCTTCTGAAAGAATGTTTATAAACGCATTTCACTAAGTCGTCGTACGTATTCTTCTTTCTACAGCAAGTGTGATCTCCTTTTTACATGTCCTTATTTGTTATATTCCTCAAAAATGTGAATTTTCTATATACAATTTTACAAAAGGGATGGTTTTTACAGTGGTTGAGGTGTTAGTACTGTCAGAAATATGCTCAATTACAATCAATCTCAACAATGTTCTTTGGAATTTCACAGAAGCGGTAAACCAATCTTTGTCCGTCGACCTTTGACAAAATTCCACGTTGATAGTAGTACCTATAAGATTAACAAAAATTATTTAGAATTAATCAATGAAAATACATTAAGATAAAAATAGACAGGCTGAGACAAGACCAAATATGGTTATCAGTGCGGGAAAAAGTGATGGTTAGAGGCATTGCATATCCTTAGAGGATTTTTCCCCCCTCCAAGGCAATCACTGTTGGTCTTTGGTGGTAGATGAATTTAATTAAAATGTATTCATGGTTGGGGGCACCACAATTTTTTTTCTCCATCTGGCTTGTGTAAAATAAAATCTGGAAACACATTGTTGATTTTAAGGCAGCTTTAAACACTCACCTTTTTAACATGTACTTTTCTTGAATTTCTCCTAGCATTTTTATTTTTATTGTTAAGCGCATTGAGGCTTTAGCATAATGTGCTATATAAGCCAAAATTATTATTATTTATTATTATTATTATTATTATTATTATTATTATTATTATTATTATTATTATTATTATAAATCTGTATGTACACCGACTATAATGTCAGACCCAGCCAACCAAACCCCTTCCTCCACCTCCCGAAAAAAAAATACAAACCAAAAAAACAATATTTTTAAAAACGGAGGAAAAATAAAAATGATATTCAAAGTTAAGTTGATAGTGCCATTTCCGTGTGCCATAATCATATATTATCTTAGCCCCAATAAAGGTGGTGGAGTAGACCCTCCCTCTGTGAAAGTTCCTTCTTGGGCCCTTATATTTCCAATGTTTGGATCTGCCACTAAATACCACATGTATTCTTACCTTAAAGCCCTTCCCATTGTTTCATAGTTCATATCTGGTTTGTTCTTCATCTGTCCCCATAACCTTGACACGGCTTTCGAGTCAACTAACTTGAAAATCCCTTGGTCACGCTCTGTCCACTTGATAAACTTTGGACAAGTTTCACTATTTTGTAAAAGTTCTAATAGAAACTCCCATAAATATGTTGTATGACCTGAGAAGAAAAAAAAACAAAAAAACTAGTTAATTATATAAATTAAAAAAAAGAGAGTTCTCGTAATCTCAAAAGCTCAGACGAGGGCAGTATAATAGAGGCAGTAGATCTAAAAAAGATCTATAAATCAATCAACTATTAATCAATCAGCCTAATGAGGGCAGTATAATAGAAGCAGTAAATATAAAATAGATCATATTAATCAATCCACTATTATTCAATCAGCCTCATGAGGGCAGTATAATAGAAGCAGTAAATATAAAAAAGATCATATTAATCAATCCACTATTATTCAATCAGCCTCATGAGGGCAGTATAATAAAGGTAACAGAGGAAGTCAAGCTAAAAAAAGATCTCTTAGTCAGCCAAGTGTTTCTAGAGCTCATCGGTGCTAAAAACCTGTATCCCAGATAAGGCAAAAACAAATAGAAACTCCTCCTTGTTAAACATGTCTGCACTTTTAACAATGTCTCTATTGTGATAACAATTGATTTTGTATTGTTACTAATAGAGGTTATCATTATTGATTGATGGTAAGCTAACTTTTAACATTTTTTGTTGTAGCGTTCATATTCAACTTAAGACCAAAAAAACATACAGTATTTCATGTATTAACTACAGGACAATAAGTGTCTATAATTTGGTATCATCTTCACACCCAGAAAAACACACTAAGTCTGGCCCATGTAAGTTTGAAGACTTATTTCCGGTGGGTCATCTTAGTTGTGAATAAGACAATACACTGGGATAAAATCCTCTATTCTTTATTAAGGACATACTACAAACGGCTATGTTAGTAGTAATAATTAACACGACAGGATGTAAACCACTTTAAGATTTCTTTAATTCATCATCACTTATTCACTTAATTAGTTAACTTTTTCAATTTAGATTTTCATTCAACATACCATCTTTTGCCTTCTTTCTCGCACCACCATTTGAGTTGTGTAGGGAAAATTCTGATTTTGATCTATTCCTTGGGCGCCCTCGTCTTGTTGGTGAACGTTTGCTAGATTTACAATTATTATTGTTTACTTCTGCATCGACAATGCCATGCTCTATTGTAACTTCCAGTTCCGGATAAGTCTGTGCTAACGAATGATGTGTTGTCTGTATAACAGGTACATGATTTGTAGTTTCAATTGGATCTGCAAGGTGACCAAATATATATCAATTAAATTACATATTTCTTACAAAGCAACGTTTTTCTAAACCCAATATTATTGCATTTATCCAGAAATATTACTGTTAGTTGATCATAATATTGACGACAAATCAACTGCAAAGATAAAATCCTAATGATCCAAGCCCTGAGGGCAGTACACTATATGAGGGTCATGCTGTAGACTATATAAAGGCAGTATACGCCTACGATATAATGGCAATATGCTTGTTATTTGAATATACAATATCAATTATCAGAAACAAAATAAATTGTGACATTATTAACACTACACTAAGTAAAAAAGAAAACATGCTGTTAAAATTAAACACGCCTGTTGCACAAAACATAATGATCAAAATTTATTCTGAATACAGTTACTGTATTTAGAAATTTAATGTAAATTAAACTTTCTTTTTTTAATCTTTTAGTTTATATTGCAATTAAAGAAATGTATGAAACTGGAAAATATAAATGGTATATAAAAGATGTCCCAAAATTGGAAAAATATTAGTTATTAAAATGAATTTTTTTGAGAAATATGAAAATCACGCATAGTAATCAGAATCAGTGACTACTAAAAATGTGATTTCTTTTCTAAAAAAAAAGAAGAGAGAATTAGAAAAAAGGAATGACCATTTAAAATATAAAAAAAAATGAGAATGCAAAAACATCTAGATGAGTAACTTTTAAAATTCATTAAAGTAGTTTTTTTATTGTGCGGTACCATGGCTTCTAGTGTATTCAAATGGCATTATAACCACGGGTGCATTGTGGTGTCAAAGTCAAATTAACTAACATACCTTCGAACACACTACCTGTCAGTTTGAAGTAACAATCTGTGTTTTAAATTATTTGCATAAATATTAATTAATATATTATTTTTAAATATAACAGCCTGCATGCTAATTTATAACTTGTTAATCACCTTTAATAAAATAATCTGTTTGGAATATTTATTATTGTTAAATAATTAAGTATTTCAATAACTGTACAAGTAGTGGTATAAAATATATATTAATAAAATTACTAGTTTAAATGTAACATTATAAAATTATGTATATAAATATATAATTACTGCAATAGTAAAATACTTGCACTACAATTGTTAGATGCTTGTAAAATGACTTAGGGAAAACTCAGACAGTGTTGTACTATGCAGCCCAACGCAATTCATCAATGGGGACAGTCTTAACCCATTGTGTGAAATACTAAACCTGTTTAATATTCTATGCACCCAACGCAAATCACTGCATATGTGTTTAACTAAGAGACTCGACGCGACAACAAATCGCGTTGTACGACGTTGTCTGAGTTGGCCTTTATATACCAATAATATGAGTATTTACATAAGAATGTAAATGTCTGACTGACAGTGTATAATGCAATGTGTGCAAACATTGCATTGCTTGTAATGAGACACACAGTATGGACACAAATCATTTTTAAAATTCTGTCCACACTATCAAATTTGACGCGAGTGATGCGTCCATATAGGGGTATGATGATGTCATACACATATATGGGTATGACATCATCATACCAATATATATATATGGGTATGGGTATGATGATGTCATATTATACCGAAATATGAGCATATCACACCTATTTGTAAATCTTGTGTGAACTTTTAAAGAATTGAAGAATGCAACATGATACATGTTTAACACTCTGCCCGCCAAACACGGAGATTTCCGTGTTTGGTAATGCAATGTTTGACTGCCAAACACGGATATCTCTGTGTTTTAGGTTTTTTTACGAATCCGATAGATGGGGTAATTACCGACATGTACGAACAATTTGAACACTATATTCAGTCTGGACCGTAAGTATTTCACTATTTGTTTGTCTACATTAGCGTAGAGCGGTATTGATTTACTTTCAAGAAATCGTGATTATCTCAGCTCCGTTGTGCGAAATTGCGTAAATCTCCATAAGCGAGTCATTTTCATTTTACTGTTACGGGTCACATGTCGTGATTAGAATAATGTGTTTGGTACCATTGTGAAGCTTATATTGTTTGTAATTCTTGTAGTATTCACTACGTGTCAATTTGATAATATATGTACTCTTAACGAGCTTCGGAAAAGCATTAAAATTTGCTAAAAAATCTGGCAGTGGCTAATACTATTTTTTCAAACCCCTGGTGGTCAGTGTGTTAACAGCCAATATACGCAAATTAATGTTTTAAATACTAGTGCTAACATGATTATAGTTTAAAGAAGTGAATTCACCTCCAAAGCGCTGTTCCAAATGCCCAGCCGAATTATAATAATACAAAATGCAAATTAAATAGTTTTATACCAATGCCACATTAGTGGGGCTCTTCTTGGTCTCATTCATACTACCCAACACCCCCAGCATAGAAGTGCAAAAATCACAAATATGCACCTACATGCATTAGCACCATAGTATTATGTAACGGTATAATACAAATACACACACTTAATTAACCAATGGTTATTTTGAACAATTTACATGAATAGAGCAGAAATTTGAGCAACATACTGTATGTGAATATAACTGTGAAAAATGTTTTAAAAAATATCAAAGCACACAGTATGGAAAGTACGTGCAGTGCACACATATGTGTAGTGTACACGTACAGTGGCATATGTGGAAAGCATCCTACCTGGTTTGAAGTCTAATTGGGTCCCTGAGCAGAGACCAGGCGGAATAAATGGCAGGCTACTTGAGAGTTGAAGGGTTTGGAAGACTGAAATGGCAAGACAGCATGCAAAAATAACAAACCACAACATACATAAATTCATGCGTAAAACGTACACAGCTAACAAGGTAGAAAAGCAAGAAATATGCATGATATGGGTATGCATTGTGGGATTTAAAATATACCCCTTAGAAAAATGAGATGGGTATTTGCAAAGTATTATGGGAATCACTGCAGCATTGGTAAATTGAGGTGGTTGTTAATGTTATGAGATAAGGGCAGCGAAGTTCAGTTGAAGTTATATATCTATGGATTTATAAAGTGATATATCCATATATCATATATATGTCATATTACACCCAAATATGGGCATATCAAGGGAAAAGAGATATCCATGGAAAAGGTAAATTCTACAAGGAATTGTATTTTAAATTCAAATTTTAGAAAAATATAAAAAGAATACATTGCCCGATATTGCATGTTTATTTTTGTCATGTATGTGGTAGATTAAAGCAAGAATTAAAATTGATCACTTCATTCACCAAGTTCAAACACATAGTTATTGGGACTTAATAAATATGCAACACAACAGTTAAATAATAGTTCTATATACATGAAACAACACAACACTTTAGAATTAACCCACAACCTAATATAAGTACAATAAGTGTAAATCAATAAATTACCCCAAAAAATAGTAAATATACGAGTTTGATAAGTGGCTTGTATATTGTGAAGAAATTCATAGTTTAAGAAAGCCCTCAATTTTTTAAAGATAAAGAAGCAATTTTTGATTAATATTTAACAAAACTTAAATTTTGCAGACACCATCATTTAAATTTTAAAATACAAATCAGATGAACTATTTCAACGTTTGACAGAAAATAAAATAACGAGAATACTTACCAAAATTACCTTCGAAACCAAAAATAACAATATAACATGCATAGTATGTGACAAGTAAAGTCCAAAGCATTAAAATAAAATTCACCCAAAAATAATCTTAGAATATAAATTTGGTGTGTAAAACCAACCCACAATTTTCTCTTATATATTCAAATACTTTTATGCATCAGGACTCTGCTCACACTAGTCAATATATGGGCATCATATCAGACCATATATAGACATGATAATATACTTATAACCATATATGGGCAAATCCCATGTATTTTGTCACATGTTTAGATACTTACTGCTATCGGTTAGATCATCAGATTTCAATGAGAGATCATTTTCATCTTCCTCTTTCTTGATAAATTGACTAATATCTGCATCTAATTAAAAAAAAAACAATATATTAAAACCAGAGCCTTGCAGGCGTCAACGTTCCTATGCATGATACATGACTTAAAAAGTATA